GACCGGTAATAGTGTCGTCTTCCTTTGTGGGCGGTTCGCGGCGACGGGGTAGCGACCGGAAACACGGCTTGTTGCGCCCGATTCCTCAATTAATGCGCGCAATTAAACTTCCGCTCTTTTAATGAGCACTTCAATAAAAGTTTATGACGCAAATCTCATTAAGTTCGCGAGCCGTTCGTTAGATTCGGTGGCCGGTCGCCCGTGAAACACGGCCGTCTGTTGAAGATTCGTGGGCGGAGGACGGCGTCCGGGAAGAGGGATGGCCGCTCGGTAGGTGGAAACTGAATTATAATCAGGGCGAAACTCGCGCGATCGAACCGAACATTTTTCTCCGCGCGATTTCCCGGGCAGGCGGAGGCGGGCTGAAAAATTAACGGACGCGCGCGCGGAGCTCCCGGGCCGATAACATCGTTTTCGCCCGTGCGCCCGTTCGCGTGGAAAAGAAGGAAATGCGGCGATCCATGTTTCATGCTGTCGCGGCGTCGCGATTGAACTCATAAATTCGCCGAAAAATTCATGAGCGTCGCGAAATTCTGGATTACATTGCATTTACGCTCGTTGTTACAACCGATTCGCGGGGAAATTCACCGGGAATTGCAACAACGACCGACTCACCGCGATTTTTTCTCTTCCTCCTGCCGCCATCCCCTCGGTTCTCGCGGTGGACGTGTTCCCGGGACGTTATTACGATATCAACGATCGGCGAAACGTCGGTGAAAAATTTCGGGAAAATCCGACCGAGGCAAAAATCCGCCTGGCTGACGATAATTCGTCGCGATCGTCGGGATTCCATTTCCCCCCGGTGCAACTCGATCCCTTCCATTCAGCCTGTGCGTGAACCCTCAGGGGCTGCATGGCGATTCCGGTATGGGGATTGGCGATACTGAGGTGTCTGAGCTAGGTCAACGGAACCCTGGTAGGGACGAAGTACTATTTAACTGAGAAGTGTTGGCGGTTAGTTTTCGCGACGAGAAATCAGGGAGACAAGGGTACTCTTTCAGTCTTGATGTTTCGGCCACCTCGATTTTCAACGCATAGTCATCCTTAGTGTACAGCGGCGCTAGCTTGGATAGCTAGTAGAACTTTGAAAAGGAGCTTGGCGCCACCAACATCCTACTGTGCAGCTCTCACGTTTGCATCGTGGCGCGTTTCAGCGTATATGGGGCCTTTTAGAAGCAAAGTCACAAGAGCAAAGAACTTTTCCACTCAGGATGCTCGTGTCAATAGCTATAGGACAACAGTCGATATTATTGGTCGAGCATCTAGATAGAGCAGGCGACCGATAGCTCTTGCTCCTGTGCACTTTTAGCTTTTAGGATTGATTCAGGACGTAACAGCTGCACAGTAGGTGATACTTTCACGAGACTCGCCATCCCCAGGAGGCTAAGTACGTTGGTAATGCTCCGTTTTCGGCTGATTGAGCCTGATCCCACGCCCATGGGCGCCGTATGGTGAAGCCCTCTGGGTATATACCAAACGTTAAACAAGTTTTGGGCGTGAACGTTATTCCCCACGAAATCGGCCCACAAAAACGCGCGATCTTCTTTCGCGTCGCGATACAAGGACGCGACCATTTATCAGCCGCGCTCGGTGTTTCGAAAGCCAGCGGAGATAAGGCCGAGTGGCGTCACGATTCTTCCGCCTGGTGGATCGAGGGCGCGTCTTTTTTCGCTGAAAACTGTTTAGGGGGCGTGCCATAGAAAATATTTCGCGTGGCTTCGAGGGTTCCGTGTCGGGAGCCTGTACAAATGGCTCGGGCTTCTGAAAACAGCTCGCGTGAAAGATATTTCGCTACCGTTTTCACATTTCCAGCGTCCGCGCCGTTGAAGTGAAACACCGCGCACGGAAATGTAAAGGCTTTAACGATAGAACTACCGCGCCCGTTGAAATGACGGGTTTCAATTGTCTTATTTGTTGGTTATTGATGTCTTCAAAGTGTTACAAATCCAAAATGATTCTAAATTTCTAGACTATTTACTACGGTAAAATCTGTTGCTACAATTTTTTATAAGAATGACATATTAATCAAATTGTACACACCAATTTCAAAAGTAACCAGTTATTCAACTGATTACGAAATAAAAGTAAACAAGTTAGACGATACATTTTTCTCAGTGGAAATAAAAACAGAGGGGAAAACAAAAATTGAGAAACCAGGCGATAGGACAATACAAGTATCGATACAAACTTAAATGAAAGAGAGAAACCGCAGAATTTTCGATTATATTTTGAAACCGGTCATTTGACCGGTCGCGGTATGTTCAGTGTTAAAACATTTCAAAGTATTATTCGTCTCGCGTTCAAATCGCAAGTATTACGATCATAGTTCTTTCAGAAGAACCGCGATTGTCTTTAACCGCTGAAGCAGAGATATCAGCGAAACGAAACGTAAAGAGATCGCGGTTGCTTTGTGTTCTCAAAGAGTATTATCGTTACATTCGGACGAATTAGAGCAGGAGGGGATGGAAACAGCCGTAAAAAAGGAATATCACGGACGGGATTGCAGCTTCGAGCTTTAAAATTCTTCGGCAACAAACTTTCCGCGCGTTTAAAGTTGGAAGACACAGCGTGTATACCGTGGATGGATTACGGCTCACTTGATGAGAGCCTTCGACGCTCGTCACGAGAGTTGAAACTTTTTACCCTGTTCCACCCCCTCCCATTCACCGTGGCAGCCTCGACGTCCGCTGGGACGAGCACTCTTCCACAACGTAAGTGCGAAGGTAAAACGTGTCCGTGGACTGGTCGAAAGAAATCGATAGGGCTGATTTATGGCGTGTGCTACGACCGCGACACGACCCCTTGGAATTCCGTTCGAGTGGATTTGAACCTGGGTCAAGCGAGCCCCGTGTTTTACCGGCATCGATTCCTAACTCCCCTCTCTTCCCTGACCCCGCAACCGACCAACCCCATCATCCCTCTGCCACTTTTCTTTCCATCCGCGCCTCTCTTTAAATATTTACCGTGCGAACGAGCCACCACGATTTTCAAAGTCGTCGCGGCATTGATTTATCCGACGCGATCTTTACGACCCGTTTTGCACCGATTCACTGATCTCACCGTGATCTTTGCGGTGGACAATGATTCGGTAAAATTGGGAACTTTAACGGTTTGTACTCAGTAGCTTTTCACTAGAAATATGTTTCATATTTTCTGATGAGGTACAGACTTTCTTTGAAACTAATCGGGAAATATACATAAATTGAGTAACAATGCTATTTTATTTTAATATTCAGTTATTAATGCATTTCCCTTTATAATTTTGCTATGTCCAATCAAATGTTGAGAGTTACTTCTCGACGAATCATGTAAAAAGGAAGTAATAAGCATGTATATTGATGAAAGCAGATATTACTAAGGGATATCGATCAATTTCTTCGATTGTCGTTTGATTATTTTCCTCTTTGTCTCCGATGAACAGTGGATATTGCCTTCAAAAACATTGTTCATTACCATTTTTCAGTTAAAGTGTTGTCGCGCCATTATTCCCGCGTTCCCGTCGCGCCGTAATAACTCCAGACACTCGGGCGGCGCGTATAAAATCAAGAAAACGTGAAACGTCGAGGGGCGAGAGAGAAAAAACCGAGTGTCGCCGCGGCGCGCGACCTCCGAGTGACTCCGTGGTTTGATCAGCACCGTAAATAAGTAGCTCGCCTTCCCGGTGCTCCTCGAAAATTTCCCAAGAGCTGTGCGAGCTAAGCTTTCTTATTATTACGTTCCGTGTCCCTCTTGGCCGGGGATAGTCGTTCGTGAAATCCGTCCTGATGTGAACCAAAGATGCCGGAAAAGACATCCAACCCCCGTCCCTCTATTTACGCTCCTCCTTTTCTTCCCTTATTTCTCTCTCGCCGATACGAACCTCTTCTTCCCTTTCGGTACACTTCATTGAGGATTCAGCGTGAAATCCTTAGTTTCCCACTTACAACACCGACGTCGCTTTTCCTTATAATTCAGTAAGGATCTTAAGAGAAATTTATATTCATTACTAACGGAGGAATTAATTAGTTAAGGGATATCGTTAAGGGGCATCTTTAGTAGCGTATACTTCTCATTTCATTGTGGATCTGGATAATATTCATTATTTTCTTATATTGACAGATAAATTCCTTCTGACTCTATCATTTTCAAAACGAATTACTAGATTACTAAGTTTGCTAATTTCAATTTAGAATCACAAGATGCATATTCCAGTTAATTATTTAAAGTACACGCGACAGAAAGCCGTTCAGAGAAGGTGATCGTAACTTCTCCACGCGACATCCATTCGATTCGATCTATTCAAGAGCGGTTTCCGTCGTTTTGAAGACCGCCGTCTCGCGTCTCGACACTTGCGTTTAGTCCGCTCTGCGTTAAAAGAGTTGTCGCCTCGACACAGTCGACGATAGTTGCTCGACGAACAAGCCCGTTCGACGTACTAGTCCGGCATCCTTTGTCTATACAGCTCAAAGGAACTTTGTTAACGTCCCCGGGGAAAACATACTCGCGGGAGTTGTCGCGTTCGAGGCGGAACTATCGATAATCACCGTGGTACGGTTCGCGAAGGACCGCGGACGACGATAATGGAGGTCGCGAAGAGGGAAGTTCAATTTTAACAGCGGATTATCAATTTCCGCGGAAGAGATCCCGTTAACTCTTTGAGTGCTGTGGACGCATATATACGTTCTTCGATCTGTTTAATCTAATACGCGCCGCGTGACAATTATGAATGTATGTAATGAATACAAGAGTTTCTTAACATTATTCAATTTGGTGAAACTAAAGAATTACGATTACAATTTAATTACAATCTACTTAATTGTATGAATTAATATAACCCATCAATCTCCAGATAAGCAAACGAATATTCCGCCCACACGGAAGGTTTCGGCTGTGAATATTCAGCACTCAAAGGATTAAAACCCGAGATCAGAAGGCAGAGAGGATGACAGAGTATCGACAATACCGGAAATCGAGTAATAATTTTCGATTCCTCACTCGACCCGCGATTTCCGGTCGAAAAAGTCCGCGGAAAGCTGGTTACTGGGCGAAATCAATTTGTTTTCGTGCCAGCAAGCAGGCAAACGGTCGCCGCCCCGACCCTGTTCACCTGCGAATTCATAAAAGGGACTGCATCGAGTTAAAATACCGCGAATTTGTTCGGCGACAGATATAAATAAAACGCCGTGAAAGGATCGGGGGAGCAATCGCTGAGAGATATCGGGTGACCCGGCTCGCCCGCGAGCGCACCGGAGATACGTTTTCATAAATGAAAATTGATACCGTAGATGTTGAGCTAAGCTACCGTGAAATATCATTCCTGTGAAATTCCGCGGTTGCAATTCGTCGGCGTTATTATTTCTGTATAATAAACTACTCGTACCTTTTTCCGAACAAGATAAACGGCGAGCCGACGAAGCTCGATGCCAGGGATCGTAATCGAAAAATGAATTGCGTTAGCGATCCTGCGCGTTCGATGAACCGCAAAAGCTGGTTTAGCGTTAGACCGACACCGAGACAAGGATTATGGTGAGTCAGTTTCAAATGAAGATTTCAAGAGGCCCCATGATTTCAAGTATAAAGCCTGGTCTGGCGGGTACGATGTGAAAAGTTCCTCATAAATCCTGAATGAAGATTCAAATTTCCAAGCCAGGTCGAACAGAAAGTACGGGCTCGGGCGTAAAAGTAACGACTGCTCGTATAATATTTACCGAGGAAGAATGTACAGTGTACATACAAGGCCAAATAGCCGAACGCCTGGAGACATTGCCTCTGACCGTTCAGCTGTGACGCGGCCGATGGGTGGGCGGAATTATGTCGGTCCAATACGGTGATAACGGAGCCAAGCCAGAACCGAACGTCTTGACGTAAACGCGCCGATAATCCCGCCTTTTTATCGCCACTTAGCTGTATCCTCTTTTATTGGTCATTACACGTTATCACAACACCGGCATGAACAAACCAGCGGCGCACGGGCGGTTAGCACGGGCTTGATCCACCGTCGGGAAAGCTACGACTCTCTTCGACCGAAAATTCCCGGCGAAATTCGCTTTATCTGAATTCTTTTGTTTATATATTGCTAGTTGGGGAATGAACCGACACTTTTCGGCTTTATCAATTTTATCTTGTTCACGTGGTGGATCGTGAAATTTTATTCGTTGTTATTTAAAAATGGAGTTTAACCAGTTTGCTGTTCTTGACGAATATACTCGTCACGGAGACATGCCAAGGTCCTGTGTCACGATGAGTATTTCCGATTTGTACAAATTATTTCTCCCATACAATATTAGTATGATATAATAATATAGTAATACTATCTTCGCATAATATAGGTCCTTTGATATTTTTATTAGCTATCTTCAATTTCACAAAATAGAAGGAAATGATGAATGATAAAAATTCGGCGGCTCGAAGCCGATACTATAGCATCCAACACGATTCGTGTTCGTTAGTTAATCTAATCCTTATAAAAGGAACAAAACATAATACTCTTATCGTTGCAATTTACAGGGAATAAAATTTACGAATAGAACTTGATATTAATTTCAATTGTAACGTTGAAGATAATTACGATATTGTAATTCGACTAAATGTTGACCCAGTTCTCCCGTTCATTTACCGGAAAATCGATCCGACCCTTCCCTGGCGGATTTTTATTTCGACGATCACCCGTTAACCCTGGGAAGTACGAAAAATGCGACGCTTTCGGGAACGAGCGATCTGTTTGGCGGTGAAAGGGGTGAGGGGCTACGAGACGCTCGAAACACTGGCGAACATTCTATCGGTGGTGCGAGATACTTTTACTACGGCTGATCGAACCAGTCGAAATCTGATAGCGGCGGGCTGCCGAAGAAGTTTTACCCACGTCTACGCTGGTATCGTTCACCGCGAACTTGATTCCGAACTGTTATACGGGATGGATACGCTCGTGAAGTGTATTCTTGCAAGCGTACACTTTTCGACCTCTCGCCTCGATTTCGGTGGTTTGATTGACATTAGAATTAGCGGTAGACAAACCATTTCTAATTTTCTTGTATAAATTATAAGGGTACATTTATTTAAATTTCGTTCGACTTGTATTTTAGTTTACATGTTACTGGAAGAATTTATTTAATAATTAAGCAGAAAATCAGTTGTCTTTTCAATAACTCTTAAGCTCAAAACTTACTCATGGCGGTTTATTCATTTTTGTCTCTTTTCTTACAATATTTTAGCTTCAATTTAAGGAGATTTATCACTCTATCTTAACTCTATCTACAGTTCTTTGATTTTGATACAGAAATAGCTGAATGTTCCCATTACATAGCGTCTCGGGTTTGTATAATCGTATAACTTGCTTTTAACTTAGAATAACATAGGTGGTAGGTTAGCTTGAACATGTTTAATAATAATTTCGAACCACTTTGTTCATTTAATTACACGATTTCCAGGGTTCTCCTTTTAGAAAATAGATTCTACTTTGAATCCTCTGGTATCAAGGTATTTTCAGAGTTTGATTTAAGTGAAATTTTCGGATCCACTCCTTCTTTTAGGAAATAGATACTCATCTAAAACGAATCTTCCGATATTAAGCTCTTTCGAGAGCTTGATTAAAATATTCGGACTAAAAATGGAACTGCTAGGTTTCGATCGGATTTTCGAAATGTCAGATATTTCCCTCGAGCTTCCAGCTCGATCCCCGTTTTCGATGGAGCCACTGAAATTACTTTGTATTCCACGCGACCATCGACCTTTCATCTAACCCTCTCCACGTCTAAATCTCGATCGGACCGTGGCCGATGCCGAGGCTGCAATCATTTACATGCAGCGCGGCAGAGACCTCTTGCCTGCTTTATAAACTACACCGGATGAGGAGACAAGTCCTTTCCACCGTTTCCTTCGCTCTCGGCGGACAATCCGAAGAAATATTCGAACTCCTTTCTTGTGAAAGCTGAAACGTTTCTCACGAGAAACACAAATCACACCGTCGTCGAACCCTTTAGCCGTTATTTGCACCTCGATTTTCGCGTGAAAAATTGTCTATTCGTTATATAGAACAAAACAAATTGAACAAACAACGCAATTGAATTTATAACATCTTACAACCAAATCAAAATGAAATTCCTTAACATGCATTAACCATAGCGATCATTTCCATTTCAATTAATCCCGGAATTAGTGAAACAAGATCAAAGGGATGAAAATGAAGAAAACGAGAAGTGTAAATTCATGTACTTCGAAATTTCTGCCGTTTTAACCAATTAGCTTTTGCGATCTCTTTTCGAAAGCACCTTATTCTGGTATGTCTACATGTTCATGTTTACAAATAACGTTTTCCAAAATTTTCATTTAAGCATTGTATACTGACAAAATTAGTTGTGTCGATATTCCCTCAACTAGTTAGCTGTTTCTGGACGAGTATGCTTGTCCTAATACAAAACCGCCATTCCTTCATGATAAGCGTACTCGTAAAATACAGCTAACTTGTCAAATAATTTGCATCAAACTTTGATGTTCGGTATACATGTACAGGAAACGTTAGCTCCTGATTTTTCCGAAGAAAATACGTTCGGAAAGTATGTTTCCGATACCAAAATCTGAGTTCAAGAACAACGGAATTTATGGGCGACCGTTGAAAGTTCAAACTGCAATATCTGAAAATGCAACACGTGCGAGTTACGTCGTTTTCCTTTACGTCCGCAGATATTGCTACTTGCCGCGTGCTTTGTAAAGGATTTGCTTTTATTGCGCAGGTCTCCGAGTCGAACATGAACGACGTAACCCTCGTCGATGTGTCCAGGAACCTGACGGGGACGTACAAGTGCGAGGTGTCGGCCGGAAGTCCCAACTACCACACAGGAATCAAAAGGTCCAGAATGGAGGTCGTCGGTGAGTGCGAGAGGCGGCCGGGAGAATTAAAAAGTTTCGCCGGGAGTAGACAAATTCCTCATCCCCGATTCGCGCTCGCGTCCGCATCCGCGTCGGCGATGCGATGCGATGCGATGCGATGCGGCGCACGTGCGCGGCTACGTGCGCCCCATTTTCATGTCAGATTTACGGATCGCCCGGAAGAAACGCGACTAGGACTCCGATTCCGCCGGAAGACCGTTCCCAGATAGAAATTCGAACGTCATTCCGGGACTTACTTTGGAATTTTTACTTTGGCCGAATTAGTTACACAACTGACTATCGAATGACAAGAACGTTCATTTTATAATATATTTCGTTGATGAGTTCATTTGTATCAGACATTGGAAAATGTTCGCAGTTTCTTCAATGAAAATTTAAACACAGAGAACGTTTTTGTAATAGAATTTTGGTTGATTTGATACCAACAGCGGGAACATAACTTGCTGTGATATTTTGATTGAAATTGAATCTCAATTAATTGCTAACAAGAACGGATTTTTTACGGTACCTAATGCTTTTACAATAGGGTTACGATATTTATAAGAATTCTATGAGGCTGAAACAATCTTTGTAATGGTAGTTCTAGTAAAAGACCGCTTGTAGATAGAGATTTGTCATTCTGGAACTTATTTTAGAATTTTTACTTTCGCCGCAAGTTTATTCGTTGCGAAATCGATTGCCGACTAACAAGAACTTTCTTTTTATGTACTCAATCTTTCTGTAGATAATTTCATTCATTCTTTGATAATTAGGTTACAATATTTATAAGAATTCCACGAGACTGGAACAATTCTTCTAAGATAAGAATTATCGAGAATTGAATACGATTGATACGTAATCCTTAGATTTTCTTCGGTTTCTTCGAACGATCACTTCGGATAATTAATCCTTTCAAAACACAGATAATTGTGAAAGAAGAGTAATGGTAAATATTGATAAATGTCAATACAGATCTTTTTATAACAATTTTCATGAAAAATTGGCCACTGAAAGTTTCATTAGGAAACTGCAAAAGTTTTAAATAGAAAAATCTTATCCGTTGAATGGAATGTCTCTCGAACGTAAAAGGATCAGGGACAAACAACTTTAAGATCGTTCGGAGAACGCGGAGCTTATCTCTCGTCGAAAGAATGGCGGGATATAAAGGAAACTGGTAGTACAGGTGTTTCCGGGGACGCGACCCCTGTCAACCCTCCGGTCTCGATGGTGCTGGCTACTAGCCAGACGTCGAGCTAGCAGGGCGCCGGCATTCGCGTGCGCTAAACGATGTAATTATTATGCCTTAGACGCTCCAAAAACGGACCCGATGATCGACATCGAGAAGGAGCGCATAGCGGTGGGCGAGATATTCCGAGCGAATTGCACCACCGGCAGCTCCAGGCCCGCCTCCACGATTACTTGGAAGCTGAATGGAGAAATCGTGAGTGTCTAATTATTTTACGACTCTACCCGAACCTCTTTGAAACCCTTAAATTACAGTATCGTGGCTGAATTAATATAATGCAAGAATGAGAAGACATTGCTATTTTAATATTTATATATTCAATAATCTTAAACAATATATTATTACAATATATTATTAATTTCTTAGTTTAATAGTTTCACGTTTTCAAAAACTCATTATCGAAAAAACGGATATCTCGCAAATTACAGTATAACAACTGACATTGTTATTTTAATATTCATATATTTAATAATATTAAGCAATACATTATTGTAAGAATTAAAGAAATATGTTATTAGATTCTTGTGGAAATTTACACTTTATAATATTATTCACTCATTAAACCGGGTTCATTTATTAATTTAATAATTTCACGCCTCCAAAACCGTTCAGGGAAACTCGCAAAACAATCCTCCGCATTCTCAACGTATCACCGTGATAGATCGCCATTAATTCTTGCCGCGGTAATACCCCGGTAATCCATTTCCTCGGGAATTACATTTTTCAGCGTTTCCATTTAACGAACTAATCTCGCCGGGATGCGAGAGATATAAAAATAACCAGCGATTCGTTCGCATCTAAATTCCATTATCCATTTTCTGGATGCCCTCTGCAATACGACTGATCGCAGCGTTGATTTCGCGTGAATTGCAAGGTAATTAGGGAGCGGCAAGTTGACAGTGTACAGAGTGCGCCGATTTAAAACTGCGAAACGTTTTCGAGTGCCGGAATAATAACGCGGCCCGATTATTTCGACTGAATTATTAATGGCCGCTATATCGGCGGCGAGCGCGTATACGGTTCCATTGTGACGGATTAATTAATTACGGTGATTCGATGTTCCGCTCATAATTCCTAATTAATTCGCCGGAGGAGTGGTGGCGGACGCGCACGAATTATCTGGGAGGTATGTACGCCGCGCGTGTAAACACTCGTGAACATTTCGGGGTTCGGTCCGTTTGGTAAACATTCCCAGCAAAAATTATTCGATAGAATCGATCGCGATAAAACGCAGTATTCGGAGGGGCGTGGAGAAGCGATGATCGATCGCGGGACGAAACTTCTTCGAAAAAGGAATAAATTTCGGGAGAAGTCGCGGCATATCCTCTGCATACGAAACCGTCGATCCTTCCCATTGATCATCCCTGCGAGTCTCTCGTGCGAAGGTAATTCGATGTTAAGAAGCTTTCGTGAAATATGCTCCGACCGACTTTTCCTTATGAATTCCGGAAACAGTGAAGAAAAACGGGGATATATAAAGTCAGCGGCCTCGGAGTTTCGGTACGCGTTTAGCTCGAAGTTTTTATTCTTGGGATGAATTAAGGGAATCGTTGGTATCTTGTACTCTGATGTAACGAACGCAGGTGTTGTTTTCACATTTTGCTCGAGAAATCTGGAGTGTGAAGAAAGGTAGAAGCGGTGAAAGATTCTGCAGATAAACTAGCGACTGTTATTTTCTGTATTTCATCTCTTATATCTGTGTTGCGCTCTTGTAAAAGTATTCAACCTGTTGGGAACAAGTTAACATTAACAATATCGCTTCATAGAAACGATATATTACTGTATTATAACTAAACCACCAGAATAAGATTAACCTATGGCTCAATATAAACATTATTTATCTTTCTAAAATAGAATTTAAATATGTTCTTGTTCTAATAAATTGTCAACAACTGAGCTTTATCAAGTTGCAATAGAAATCATAGAACAACGGTTTAACTCAACGTGTTTTGTTCTTCGGAAACAAAAAAAAAAACGAAGACAAA